TGCTACCCATTGCCATCTCAATGTCGCTATTTTTCCCATGATGTCGGTTACTTTAGTTCTTCGACTTATTTCGGTGTTAGGAATTTTGTCTCTGAGGCGTATATTTAACATGGCCCTCTCCATGGCCCGTTGAGTTACTCTTAATTGTTCTGCCATTTTTCTTGTTATTGCCATAGTTTCCAATCCATAAGTTGCAACTGGTAGTATACAAGTGTCATAGGTTTTTCGTTTTAAGTGAATTGGGATTTTTCTGTCTTTTAAAATGAAGCTCAACTTACCCAAAGCAGCCCATGATAATTGTGTCCTTCTTTTAATTTCTAGGGTTTGATTTTCCTTTTCGTTTTTAATTGCATGTCCTAGATATACATATATATATATATATATATATATATATATATATATATATATATATATATATATATATATATATATATATTGTTCTACCTTTTCTATATTGATGTTATCTATCGTGATGTTTTCTAGGCTGTTGCTTAATATCTTTGTTTTGTCCAGATTCATTTTTAATCCTATTTGATTCGATTTGTGATTTAAATCTTGTAGCATTGATTTTAGTTCATGGATATCTGTGCTTATTAGTACTATGTCGTCTGCAAAACACAAATGGTTAAGTTATACTCCATCTATTTTTAATCCATTTTCGGCCCAATTTAGTTATTTGAAATCATTTTCTAATGCCAAAGTAAATAACTTGGGTGAGATGGTGTCGCCCTGTCTTACACCTTTGCCAGGGTCTATTTTCATAGTTTCCAGATCATCATCTATTTTTACGTGAAAAGTAGCATCATCGTATATATTTTTAAGGAGGGCAGCATATCTTGAATCTACTCTGGCGTCATCCAATGCTGTTAAGAAAGCCCATTTCTCGATACTGTCGCATGCTTTGTGATAATGTACAAATGCCAGATGTAGTGGTATGTTGTACTCTATTGTTTTTTCAATAATGGTCCGAATTGTTTGCAAGTGATCGATAGTGCTAAAACCCTTACGAAAGCCTGCTTGCTCCACTGGTTGGTATGCATCTAGTTTAGCTGTCAATCTATTTGTTATTATTCGGATTAGTAGTTTGTAAAGGTGTGACAATAAGCTTATTGGTCAGTAGTTTTCTATATTTGCGGCGTCCCCTTTTTTATGGAGTAGAATGACTTCCGCATTTTCCATGTCTTCGGTATTTGTCCTTCCAATAGGCATTTATTAAGTAATGCTCTTATTGCCTCTTCTAATGCAGTGCCTCCCATTTTTAGCTTGACGATATACCCTTTTTCAAAAATAATCATTTTAAACCAGTCAAACTCCTGAATCTAATGAAGAACACTAAAATAGAATAATGTAATATAGACGACAAACGATCAATTTTGATTCTGGTGGATATTAGGTTAATTATATTTTCCTTGTTCCTTAAAATATTTGAAGAGTTTATGTTTTATAAGCTGGAGCTTACTTTGTTTACATTCAAATGACTTTTTTTACTACTCATTTTGAGCGGCTATTCATTATATCAATACCCTCAAAAAATCAACCGATTTCTTACAATTTAACGATCGAAATATTCGCAAAAACATGTCTCCTTTCACCGACCGTATTTCACTTTGTATTGTATATGAAATATCTTGTAAAATAGAATCTCATTCTTCTTTTATAAGCTTCATTTCTGTTTGCGATACTGTTTTGATCAAAGGGATAATATTTGAGTAATTCATAAAAAAAACCGTTAAAATGCGTAACTTTTTTCAATGGAAATTAGCTGTTTTCAACCGTAAATAGCTCAAACAGTATTGACTTTCTGAAAAAATCCTGTAAAACAAAAGTAACCAGTAAAGTTTATTTGACCACTTCCCATCGACTCACCAAATTTCAAGTGAATCGGTTCACTCCGACAAAATTTTGTGGTGAATAGCCCGAGTGACTTGAGTAAATCGCAGGTATAAAAGCTCAGTTTTACTTGGAAAAGCCTCATCGAATGCCTATTAGGCAGTTGTTTTTTACGAAATTTTTTCAAAAGAAACAATTTCATAATAGTTAAGGAGATACAATCATTTAACAAGTTTAGCTCCGTCCTTTTTTTAAGGGAAAACAGTGGGCCACTGAGATGTCTTCGTGTAAACTAATTAATTTTTAGCGTACACTATAAGTTATTTATAATAAATCTGGGTACAAAAAATTAATTTGGTCATACAAAAAAACTAACCTCGTGAGTCACGTTGGTGGCCACAGGGTAAATAATCTGATTGAGAAACAATATAATTATGAGCCTAGATAATTAACATAAATAATTATTAAATGGTAACAACATGAAGAAAACAAACTAATTACCTAATTTTCAATTTCTTCTTGAAAATGTCTAAAACAATTTTCTAAGCACAACCCCGGATGTTCAGGGCACTCCGCACAATAAAACAATAAGTCCTTTCTTTCTTTTTTAGTTTGCCAGCAATATTTACACCGTCGTCGTTTTGTAATACCATTAGCTGATTTAGGGCATTGGGATGGCAAATGAAACGTCAAACTTTTCTTGATTTGAGGGAGTTTTGGGTTTGGTCCCAAAAGACTATCAATCACCGACAATCGAAAGTCGTACAATGACATTTTTGTATTAGAATTATTATAGAAATAGTATGCCTTGATTAGCATAATTTGAAAAATATGTATGCCTATTTTTTTGTACCACCTCATAATTGTGTGTTCGCAACTATAATAATTTAACAATTTGTCGCCTAAGTTAATGCCACCTTTGTTCTTGTTATATTCAGCGACGAAACGAGGCTTTTCTCTATCAATTCCTTTCCTAGATATTTTTGGGACCATTTCATGACCAAATTCGGGAGAAATCATTAAAATATCTCGCTGATCTTTTAATTTGCAAACACACATATCCCTTTATTATTGTAAGCACTCACCAGTTCATTTTGTTTTAATTTTCGAGAAACAACTTGGTGTGGATTTCCGGCTCTTTCTGTTCTCAATGTTCCTGTAAGAAAAGTTTTAACCGCAAGTAGTTTTTTACACATATAAAAATTATCCATATATAAGGAATGACCATCATTTAGTTTCGACTCCACTAAATTTAGCACTACTTTTTCTGTTTGATTATGTCCTCCAACTACGGGGTCACTAGCTCCACTATAAACTAATATGCGTTGAATCATCCTGGTACATTCTGCCAAAGTATACATTTTGACACCATATTTGTTTCGTTTGCCCTTGAGAAATTGACGAAAACTAAGTGTTATTCTCCATAAAATCATAGATTTGTCCAGGGCTAATTTTCTTTCTGGATAATAAAAATTTTCCATTTTAATATTAAAAAAATCTAACAGTGGAGATATCTTGGCAAGTCTGGACTGGTTAGTGTCACTATTGTTGCTAAAATGTAAGGCACGCAAAAGTACTATAAAGCGATTTCAGCTCATTTATTGTCCAAACACTGAAATACTAAATAAATGATTTTTCTTCCAATAATCATTCATACGATTAATTTTTATTGTTCCCATGTGAAACAACAAACCAAGAAACATTTTAAATTCTTCTACAGTTATATTCTTCCAAGCTGCAATTATACTTTTCTCAGATTTACGTTGAGAAAGAATATCAACGGCGTATAAATTGCTATTCTGAATAATCAGGTCATAGAATAATTCACATGCCAATAAATGGAAGTAATCAATAGGATTACTGCCACCCACATTAATTTTCAATCCTGGTATTGTTGTAAATGGTAGCACTGTAGGATGTTTAACCCCTGAAGACCATTCAATAATATTTTGAGACTCATCATCACCATCATCATTTTCAGATTCTTCTTGTAAATTAGGATCGTCTGTCTGATCATCTTCATCACAATATAAATCTTCATAACTTGCGTCACTGTCGTCATGTGAATCTTCTATGTGTAATAATTCATCATCTGAGATTGGCTGAGAAGTTAGTTTCCCACTTACCTCGTTTAGAAGTGGAAGTTTGGCAATATTCATCACTCATTTTTAAAATAATTTAAAATTGAAGTATTTAGCAAAACACGTGCAATGGCTCACGTAACGTAAGCCCAAAAGTAAGTAAAACCAAAAGACATCCAACACCAAAGGCGTAGAAAATATTACTGAATGCATAGCACAATAAACCGATGGGATTGGATTATGATAATACACCAAATTATTGGAAACGCAATATAATCTAAATACATCTGGTGATTCTTTTAAAGCTTACCGATGCTTTTACTTTTACTACTTTGCAACCTTTTATTACAGTTTGACGTTTTCGAGCACGTCTAGCTTGAATATTTGAAAATTAAGCGATGAAATTGAGGATTTCATATTGTATCATACAATTTATCGATGGGACAGAAGATATTTGTTATAGTTTGTGAAAAATCCGGCGAGATATCATTTATACATTGTTATATACTCAGAATAAAGTTTAAATGAAAATTCGAAAGGCAAACATAACCTCCAGTATATGCCAGTGTTTCCTAGCGGCCAGCAGATATTTGTTGTAAGTTATGAAAAATCCGATGAGATCACGTACATACATTGTCATATAGTCAAAAACTGCGCGGCTCACGATGGTGGCCTCTAAAGCTATATTCACTGAACGTGACAGTCGCATTGTCGGACTTAAACGTGTTAAACAAATAAAGTGTTCATAACAGAGTATCTGCAGGGTTTTCAGCCCGGTACCCTGGAAAAATCTAATCTATGCACTGAAAAACATAAAAAAACTGTAAGGTACCGAAAGGACATAAAAGTGAATACTCAACCCCCATGGCTCCAAGACTATTAAACCCTCAATAAATAATACATCCCCATAAAAACTTTTTCATTTATGCATTTCGTTTATAAAACCTTTAGTAGTAATTTTATATTTTTGTAGTCTTCAACAATGTAACTGGTAATTATTTTTAAATTGGAATTGAACAGTATTACTCCGCGTATTATTGTAATTTGAGATGATTTATTAATATAAATTTATTTTTACTCCAATACAAAATGCAGTAAGTATATAAATTTTCAATTAAGATATACAGTATGATATAAACTGTATTTATATTTGTTGACATAGAACTTAGTTTTATTGTTTTATTTATATAAAATATTCACCATTAAAGATTTTAAATCTTGTGAAGTAATTCACATTAGGAATTAACCCTTTCAGACCTGACTTTCTCTGCAGAAAAAAAATATTTTTCTATTGATTCTTCTTAATGGAAGATTGTAATAGGCTAAAATCATATTTTTGACATTTTTGTTCAACAGGTAGTCCTTTGACAGAATGTCCATTGCAATGGACATTGGGACTATAATACGAATTTACGAAAATAATCACATCCGATATTTTTATTAAATATAGTATATTTGTATTAAGCAAATGTTTTAATATATTTGTATAAAGCAAAAATTTTATCCATCCTTATTTCCTTCAATGGTATAATTTCCACTCTAGGTCTTTTTGGAGTGTGGTGAGAATTCTCATTTGACATTTTGGGACAACCAATGTTTCTTTTTATTAATTTTCCCACTTTAAATTGCGCATCAGCAATTTGTATTTTAAAATTTAACAAATTCATTTGATCTTTGGAAGGTAAACTAAGCTGCTCCCTTTTATATTCTAGCGAACTATTGGCACAAATAAAATCAAAGACGTGAAAGATTAAACACAATGTCCTTTTTTGGCTTGATAAAGATTATATAATATGACAATAGTTGATATAGTAAATCTACACCTCCCATCGATTTATTATATAATTGAATCGCTTGCGGTCTCTGAATCGGTATTTTTTTCTTTTTGTTCTTATCCCATCTTTCTACTAAGTCTTCTTTTCCTTTTCCAACAAAATTCGAACTTACAAGCACAGACTTATTATCTTGCCACTTGCATAAAACCACAATTCCTTCATCATTTACCACTTCTTCGCTATATCCCCGTTTTTTTTGTAATTGTTTATTTTTTGTGAATGGAGTTTTCTGTAATCTGTCAATTCTTATAGTTTCAACAGAATATATATTTTTCTTAGAGTTCTTCAAAAAGTTTGTTACTAAAAAAAAATTGTCGAAGTAAAGATATTTTTCTTTTGGAATATCTTTGGCCAGGTGCAGAAAAACTGATGAACCTAAACCAAACTCGTCAATTAACTCTGTGGAATTTCCGTGGTGGAACCTTGGTAGATTATAAAGTCATAAGCAATTCCACTTTCTCCACACAGAACAAAAATTCTAATGTCCCATGTAGAAGGCTTATTTTTTACCTATTGTTTAATATTGAGTCTTTTCGTGAACGGTACAATCTGCTCATCCATACACAGGTTTGTCTTTTTGTAACTCAGTACAACGTTTTCGGATACTCTCAAAAAATTATCTCCCTTTGTACAATTTATCTGTATCTAGATTGTTAACAATATGTACAATGCTCCTAAGCTTAAAAAATCTGTCTTTACTCATAACATTGCGGAAGGCATCTATACTGAATACCTTATTCCAATACATTCTGATTCTTGGAAAAGATAAACATCCCATGAGAATGTGCAACCCCACAAAACTTGATTTTTAACTTTTTTGATTTTATAGATATTGGTCGTTTCGGCCATTTTGTCCAAAAAAGTATGAGGAAAATATTTTAAAAAGTAATTTATAGATAGAATCCTTTGTTTCTCCTGCACCGGATATTTCTAAAGTTGTTGTTGCAGCATTTGAATTACATTTTCTTGTACTAAACTTGCGTTTTTTTCCATCTCATTTCTAGTTTTGGTTTGTTCTTTTTTTTTGTAGATGATTTTAAATTCTTCTGTAAGGTATCAACAGGGTTTTATATTAATTGCTCCTCCTAAAAATACCAAAGGTTGGAATATTGTTTATTATTAATTAATATTTTTTACCTACATTAGATAACTCATGAGAAGGGCGTGGAACATCAGGCATAGACAAAACAGGAATGTCCGCATCAATTTCTTCATTACAGACATCTTGTATGTCTGATTGGTCTTCAACTTGAGATTAAACATTATTAGCTAATTGTTCAAATTCATCGTCATCATCTAAAAAGGCTCTTAGAATCTCTTGGCCTTTTTAATTATCTGGATAAAAACCTAAAACAAAAATATCAATATAGACCTGTCAAAATTTTTACGACTAGTAGTAACTGAGATATACAAAATAAAAAATGGATATTTGAAAGCAATTTACAGGAGTTTAATTTTGTTGTAGGGCCTACATAAATGTATGTCTATTGCAGTGGACACCGTGTCTTAGGCAAATTATATTTTGTGTAGCAAGTGACTCATTCCTTTGAGGACCTATATTTTTCCATCTGTACTGTGTAACAATAAAATATAAGGACGCACATGAGAGTGGCAATAACAGTACGACAAGCTAGAGGTGGCTTGTTGCTCGTTGACAAAATTTTGTATTCTTTTCTTACGTAATTCATTTCTTGTCTGACCATCAAGTGGAAGAGATCGACCTCCTAACGTTAAATTTACTGCAGTGTTGTCACGTATTTCAATTTTTTTTAAACAGAATGGGTACATTTTTGAATTTAAATGGAAAATTCACTAAAAAATAAATGTTTAGGGTTCCAAGCACGACAGGTTATTTTTAGTGTGTTAAAGTTGACTACACAAGAAGTTAATGTAGATAAACTTCTAGTAGATCTGCAAAAAGTACAAGAACGTGTGGCTAATTTAACAGATAATTAACTTAATAGTGAATAAAACAAAGTGTCTCATTATAAACATAAATTAAACATTAATATACATTTAATATTGAATTTATAATTTGCTTTATTGACTATTATTTTTACGGCTTAGAAGTAATAAATGCTACTTTTATTTAAAAAAAATTAATTTCCAACTTCATTTAATAAAAAATTACATATTATTTGCAAACGTAATCAATTTAAAGATAATTAAGGAAGGTCGATAAACAGAAAATGCTAGCTTAACTAATAATAAGTTCTCTTCTTCGTCTAAAAAAAGTATCCAAATTAAAAGTGGATCAATTTGACGAAGACCTATTACGTCGGTTTAGTATAAATTTTCAACTTGAAGAAAAAATGCTTCCGACAGTTAAACGATTACATACAAAGTTTATACAAAAATGGGTTAAAAAAAAAAAAAAAAAAAAAAAAAAAATTCGTAGGGATAACTGAACGATTCTTTTTCACAGATGAGAAGTACTTAACGTTCGGATTGCGTAAAGGGATATCAACAGTTGTGGCGGTCTGAGAAATACAGCTTCCAAAAGAACGAAGGTTAATTATTCTTGCTGTTCGTAAAGATAATGGATTTGTTAAGGATTCGTGTTTGAGGTGAAATTTCAATCTAAATCTGGTGATTATGATGACAATATACGCTTACAGAGAATTAACACAAGTAGCTTACGAATAAGCTTCTAATGAATGTACCTCAAAACAGCACTATAGTATTAGACAATCCAACATAACAAAAATAAACAAAAGGATAAATACCCATCTACATCTAAAAAACAGATATACCACTCTGACTTAGGGAAAGAAATATAACATACAATGATGAAATGCTTCGTCCAAAGTTATTACAGTTGATTAAATTACACAAGCCTCGGTTTGTTAAGTATTCAACTCACCATATTATTAGACGTTTTGGACCTGAGGTATTACGACTGCCACCGTACCATCCGGATTTAAATCCGATTGAACTGGTATGGGCTACACGGCGTGTCGCTAAAAATTCGGTGACGCAATAAATGTCAACTTAAAATTAAATGACGTTATGGAATTATCTTATGAGTTTTTTCATACACTTTCTGAAAAAAAAAAATTGTGATAAAGTCGTTTTAACTGAGAATACCTTTGTATAAAAAGTAACGTTTGTGTATACCCAACAAGGCGTGTCACAATGGCTAATAAGGAATGTTCTATGGGTGTATGTCATCTATAGGGCAGGTGTGCATAAGCTATATCAAATAACCATCCGTGGATCTATTGAAGACATAGAGGGTGCATTGTCATTAACTGTAGATTTTTGCCCAAGTATGATACTAACACATAAACTGCAACCTGGGTTGTTAGTTTCCTCTGCTTTATCCTCTCATGTACAGGATGTGATTTATGATGTTAATGTGTCATCATTTTACCACATCTATCCAATATTTAATCAAAAAATCATACAATGAGATTTATGCTGTGTCTACTACGCTCCCCTATCCCGAAGTGTTCCCTGAGCGATAAACCAGAAAGCTGACGAACTCTTGGGCTTATAGCCTTTGTACAGTATGGGTGCATTGATCATCTTATAGTGCTAAAAACCTTTAGAGAAAACCATAGAATACAACTAGTACATACTAGTTTTTGTTGATTTCCAAGAAGCTTTCTTAGATAGAATCGGACGAATAATCAAGGTTCTAACCCACTGTCGTGTGGATTACAAATACACCCGCATAATTTATAACATTCATAAAAAATCAATAGCAAATGTGCAACCCCATGAAAAAACTATCGAGTTTCCATTGGAGAGAGGTGTTAGACAAAAAGACACTGTGTCACTTAAGCTCCCCACCCACAGCAGTTCTGAAGTATGTTTTAAAAAATATTCAATTGGTATAAGGCCCGTTTTCACGCTTCGTCTTATTGTACGTTTTGTCGGTCATATAAAACGTACGACAAAACGTATGTTTTGTCCAGTGTATACACACAATGTATTTGGATTTCATTTCGATTCGACAAGACGTACGTTTTGCTGTTTATACGCCACGTTTTATTTTATAGAATTTGTCCTATCCAACAAAACGTACAATAAGACGTAGCGTGAAAACGGGTCTTAAGACCGAGATAAATATCGTCGGAAAAATACGTAACAAAGGTCGATTTGCCTACGATATTGTGCTCATTGACGATGAATGAATGCTTAATGAACTTTCACATGTTACGAAATACATGGGATTACAAATAAAAAAAGTAAAAAAAAATTTATGACAAACTCGCATCGAAACAGGCGAAAATTTTTTTTTTTTTGCAATGGAA